GGAATGCCGTGGCAAAGATAATTGGCGAGTTTGGAAAAAGGACACTGCTTTTAAAAGAAGTTGTCTAGGCAAAATGCACCAACGCAGGCAATGTTAGCATTCCCCTGGAAAGGACTCGTGGATAGAAGTTCCTTTTAGGAAACATCCCTATGTCTGTTGTCTCTTTAGAGCTTTATCCGTGTTGGTCAGAAAAGGGCTTGCGGTATTTTTGGTGTGTTAGCGAAGACGGTTGTGCTTCTAATTGGTACTGAGGGCTTTGATGATTCATTGTGAATGAATGAAAAATGGCTTTTGGAAGTGCATATAGTGAGGGGGAAAAAAAAAAAGGGCCTGGTCTCAAGGCAACTATGCTCTAATGTTGTGGTAATGATTCCTGCAAGAACTACACTGTGATGTCTTCTGTAGCACTAGTGATGCTCTTGTAATGTGAGCTATCGTTTTAAGCCACTGTTAATCAATCTTGATTCAGGAGCTGGTGAAAGGCCATTGACAATTTCCGTCTGCCAGGGATGGGGTGTGTACTTTAGTGGGGGTCAGTTGCACTTTCCCTGCTCAAAATGAAAGATGCCTCTAGAGCGTGAATGTTTAAACATCTTGGATGGCAGGGAAAGTGCAAACTCCTGCAGCGTAGGAGGGAGGAAACTGCAAGAAGACAGATTGCTCCTGAGCAGAGCGTTGCACCAACAAGTCCTCTCATGAAACGGCTCTTTACAAGGTGCCCACAAACTGCTGGGACTTCTTGCAAGCTGCAGGGTGGGTGCAGGGAGCAGCACAGCTTTCTTCCCAATGTCTGAGCACTTGACGGGAAGAGCTGGAACTGGAAGAGTGATCGTGGCACCGCATCCCTGCAAGAAGTCTGTTTTCAATGAAAAGTTGCGTCATAGTCACTCAGTTGGATTAATGCAACGTTGATGAAAGAGGGTTGTGATTTGGCAAGATCAGAGCTGCATGAACATTAGGGCTGGGACTTGGTCCGATGCTTTTGCAAACCACTGAAGCTTGCGTACCCAGTGTCTTCTAAGCCATCAGTATCATTTGCCTTCTAGATTTTATATCATGTCCAAAAGGCCATGTCTAACTTAAGAAACCGTTGCAAGACAGATTGAAAAGTGAATGAGGAATTGAGGAGTAGTCCAGGTCCTCCCTGTGCATACCACGTGGCAGGCAGTGGTGGCTGATGGTCAAATGATGGTCAGATGGCCTTTGCCACCTTCTCCTGCCTGTGTTAGGCAGAGCCTGGGGAAGTTCAAGACCTTACGAGAGTCCCTGGTTGCTGCTCTTTAAGAGAAGTAGTCTTTCAAGTGTTTCCTCAATCATGGTTTGAGCTTTGCAGATCTAAAACCATTTAACTGATAATTTACATACAAATTACATCTGCGATCATTAAGGATAAGCAATGGAAATTGCCCTGGTTATGCCTTCACTGATGGAAACAAAAGGCCATAGTCTTCAAAGGTTGTTGCTTTTTGATGAAACAATTCTGATAAAGTCCAGCTGTCCTGGCATGTTAATTATGATGTGATGAGGCAGGAAATGGCTGTAGTGCCTTCCACAGGAAACTGAACCTTGGCATTCTCATTCCTGCATATTTAAAGCTAAAGCAAACCTTTTAGAGCAGTTTTGTTTACGATGGTAAGTATTCTTTTAAGCTTGTGTATTTACTTTGCCTCTGTTACAAATACATTTTTCAGAGGCCAAGGTTTTCGCATGCAGGCAGAGAGGCTGTTGAGGAAATCTAGCCTAATTTTCAAGGCTACCCAGAAAATACAACTGCTCTGGAAGTCAAGGGAGGCTCTAAGTGGCTCCATAGCTGTGAGATTCTGGGAGAGGAGGGCACTCCTGTATACACGTGTGTGTTTGACCATTTGCCCTGTGTGTATTTTTAAGTAAAAGGCATGCATAGCAGATTTCACTCTGCTTTTGGTGTCCTTCTAGCTTGACAGATACTTTAACTGTCTGAAAAAACACTCTGGTAGATTTGTTCCAGACTGCATCATGAATAGCTTTTTATTACTTCCAGCTTTTTTGAAGGGATTAGTGCTGGTGGAAGGTGCAGGATTGGTTCCACTGCAAAATAGTCCTCTCTCTCTGCAAAATGGCTTTGTTGGTAACTCAGTTTTCCCCTTTGTTGCCCTAGAGAGGTGCCTCGACTTGGTTCTGGAGGGCCACCTCCAAGGCTTTTTCTCCAGCACCTTGACCTGGGACTTTCTTCTATGAAGTCAAGGGCTGATCATCATCAGTTCCTACTGGCAGCAGTGGAATATACATTGTTGATACTTGTTGTTTCATCCTTATCATGATTTTTGAGAGGTAGCCCTAATTTAAGGGATTTTAATAATCCTGGCTTACTTCTGGCAAGGCAGTAGACATTGTGATGGTTGCGTTGAGGTCCACCAACAGTAATTTATTTGGGAGACCCCTGGGTAGCCCTGAAGATGGTGCTTTTCCTCCTTGAATTCTAGTCAGGCGACTGGAAGCTTTATGGCTTTTTTCCTTATCACCCTTTAAACAATTTCTTCTGGGCCAAGCAATGGTAAATTGGCACTAAGAACAAAAAGGTATCTAAATGTAATCCACATGCTGTTCTTTTCATGCCTTGAAGAATTTCAGAAAGGATGAAACAAGGTTCAAATTCATCAAATCCTGTAGAGTGGAAACCCACTCAAGGGAGCAGCAAAAATTGGATGTTGCCTAGAAGTGTTTTTTAATTAAAGGTCAAATACAATAGTCCTGAAAACCCTGGGGGAGAGGGAGGGTTTGATGTGGTCATTGCAGGCACACTATTGCCTGCTTGAGGTGCTTGTCAGGCAGCCTTGGAGTTGACTACTTTTGTATTTCTTTGTGTTAGAGAAGTCCACATAAAAATTGAGGAGTCCTGAAGTAGTCCCCTGAGCTGCCCAATTTCAATTTCACATGCAGGAGATTTGCCTGATTAGATGTAATGTATTTGCAGTGGAGTGCAGTGTGGGTCAGCAGGATATTTTCTTCACTAATGAGAGCTCGAAAAGCAATCAGGAATTCCCACCCGTTCCCCTGCTGCTCATTACCGCTCTGCTCCGGAGCCTGCCCTGTTGTTCCTGTGATCTTTTAACAGCGGTGCTACCTCCTTCCACCTGTCCTGTTGGCAAAGATGGGATGCGACGGACAAGGTCCATAAGAGGAGTCGGCACTTGGCGGTATAGATTTGTTAACTACGTTCATTATTGCTTTTAGTGAACAGGGATGTTTTTCCTCTCAAGACAAATAGAAGCAGTAAAAGGTGCTGTTAGGTTATGACAATTTAATCTATAAAGAGAAATGCTGTGTGTTAATCGCATCGGTGCTGTAGGAAAGCACAAAATGAGGGCGAGCGTTACCGTTTGTGGATGTTGCTGCCTTTTTTTTTCTCTTTTCCCTTAAACATACTGAGGAGCTGCCAACATACGTTGCTACTACCTCGTGAAAAATGGTAGGATGTCTTGAAGCGTTTTCAGGCGGCGTTTTCCACATGTGATGTCCGCATGTTTTTCTGTAAGCTCCCCTGTAATTCAGGAGCATTGCAGGTTATGCTGATGCAAGGGGAAGCTTTCCAAGCAGAGTCCTCTCTCCCAGCCCCAGGAGTTTCCTTTCCCCTCCTCTCCCCGAGGCACAGAACTGAGCCGCTTCTCTTTGGTCCTGCCTCCATCGTCCTGGCCTCGTCTCTGCTCCACCTCTTCCATGGAGCAAAGTTTTTCCTCCCTGTGCATTTGCTGTGTACGAGGCTTATCAGAGTGCTGCTTTTCCAGGAGCAGGGTTGTTTTTTTTTTTTTTTTTGAGTGTGGGAGTTGATGAAAAGTGGGGTTATATACAAGAAAACCAGAGGATGAGCTGCACTATAATGCGGTAGAAACCTGGCTGCACAAGGCAGCCTTGTTGGGGGAACTATTGGTGGCTGGATCCTGCCCAGTGTGGGTCCTGGGCAGCACCCTGACGGGAGCTTCTCTTTCGGGTAAAAGAGTGAGCTTTCACGTATAATAACTTAAGAGCTGCCTGCAGCAGGGCAGCATCGCCGTGGACGAGCCGTGGAGCCTCTGCTTTGGAGGTTGTCCTTGCCAACAACTGCATCCAGGATTTTCATGCTCTATACGTGTGAGAAGGTGTGTGTGATGGACGTGATGAAGAGCAACCACGCTGGCTGCAAAGTTGTTGTGTTGGTGTTGCCCGTTTGGGGTCAAATGTAGGTATTCTGCTCCGAGATACCAATATAACTGGTTTGGATGGTTGGTTGGCTTTGACCTGCCAGAGTTTACTTTGACTGTGTGGGAATTGTGGGTAGGGCCCAACGGTGGTCACCTTACATTGCCTTGCGGAAGATGTTTAGTGATCCAGAGAAAATATCCTTTTAATATATCAGTACCAACATGTAATTCCGCCTTCACCCCGTGTACTTGTAATGTAATTTGGTCTTTGCATGTAGTAGCTAATGCCTTTGGTTGGCTTTGTTTAAAGCCTTCTGCTGTTTTAATGTGATCCTGTTTTAGCAAACAATGTTAACAGTGATTTTCCTTGCATCCCTAATTCACTTTAGTCCGTGTAACAATTTCTTAGTGTTGCAGTTAAATTTTCAATAGTTACCTGATTTTCTATTTTGATTACATGCGCAAATTTGCTTTGCTTTTCTACTTCATTAATTTTAACACTAATTGCCACTTCAGGCAGAAAAAAAAAATCCCTTATCCTTCTTAGCATCATTATAGGACTTGCTTTAGAATGTTTTCTTTATACTGAGAGAGACGTTGTTAAAGGATTTATTCCTGTATTTTCTATCCAGCTGTATTTTTATTTAGAGAGGGGGGTAGCAGGATTTCTGAGTTTGCACTGATTGTAAGAACTGCTATAAATATTTGAGGAACGGAAGAGTTTATTTATAGTGGAGTGTTAGGCTGCTAATGAAGGAAATGAAACAGGGCTGAGAGAAACAGAGTTATTTTTCTGGACCCCTCTAGTCCTAAAATTTCCACACTAATCTGATTTGCTTCAGGAAAACTCCATTGTAAAATAAATTAATGTTTCCTACTATTAAACAGATCTTGAATCTTTAACTTTTTAAAAACTGTTCTGGTGAGACAACTGAAGTGATGCCATGCAGACACTGTGCAATGTCACCAGAGTGTTGCATTGATCCAGAGCATGGAACGTCCTTGTGTATGGATCTGTCTTTCCAATTTACTTCTTGGAGGGTTAAAAACAGATGGGTCGTTTTATGTTTCATTCTGCTGTGTTTGCCATACTGGTACGTGACAAATGATGGAAAACCTGGCTGAGAGAAGGGTTTTCCATGTGGTCCTCATGTGGGCACAGGCTGGGCCAGGGCATGGCAAGGAGTAAGGGAGAGCCCTGAGAGCTTTGCCAGCAGCCAGTAAAAGTGATCACTTCAATAAATACGGGCTGAGAGAGACACTCGCCACGGTGTTGGACATCAGTCAACATTTGGGCTTCAACAGTGGGAAATCTCTGCAAAATGATAAACTCTATTGCTGAGTTTTGCTGAGCCACATTTACTCATTTGGTTTCTTCCTCTTAAGATTGCAGAAACATGTTCCATTTGTAAATATATTTTGGTGGTTTCTATGACAGTAGCAGCGCAATTCCCCTTGCTGCCGTTCACTGTGAGTTTTAGCACGCTGCTGGGCATGTAGGTACATTTATCCCCCTTCTAACAGATGGGGAAGGGTTAAGGCTGATGCTTCCAACAGGTCTTCTGACTTGGTCTGTCTGGTCCAAGCCAAGGTCCAAGAATTCAAAGCTTGCTGAGCATTCTCAGTAACTCAACTTGAGGTCAAAAACGTCTGATCATTTGAGTCTGCTGAAAACTTGGTCCCTCTATCTCACTTGATGTACACAAAACAAAGAATATCTGTGGTTAATTATTGGAATTTTATCATAAATTATATACTCAGATGGAGCCATTTGCAAAACTCTGGTCAACACTTGTGGCATATGATTTCTGTTCACGTACTCTTTCTAAACCACGCTCTCCCTGCTAAAACGAAGACGTGCAGCTCTTTGTGTCTGTGGAAGGGGCTGGAAAGGGAGCGTGGTTTCTAAATACTGATATTTCTGGATGTCTCTCTTTGCAACAGGGGCACCGTATTGGACACATACGGACAAAATGGAGAAAAGGCTACACGCGGTGCCAGCAGCAAACACTGTCAAGTTTCGTTGTCCAGCAATGGGAAACCCAACACCGACCATGCGATGGCTGAAATAAAGAGTTTAAACAAGAGCATCGTATTGGCGGATATAAGGTACATTCTCATGATGTGATTTCGCAATTTCTGTTCTTGAACAAGTCTGTAAAAAGAAAAACCAAAACAACAAACCAACAAACTTGCTGAAGTCAACAGAAAATCATTTAATGGCCTTGGATCAAATGTAGAAGCAAAAAAAAGTAATTGTTTTCTTCTGGGGAAGCATGAGTGGTTTCTTTGGCAGTTACTGAGCACTAACTATATATTTTTTTTTCTCAAATTCAAGCTTGTAGCATAGCAGTGCAGCTAAGTGTTATTTATAGAGACTTACTTGGAAAACTAAAGACTGACTTTGCAAAGCAGAGTAAGACACTTTTGCTCTATTAGTTTTCAGCTGCATTGTTAAAAACACGGCCATCCACTCTGATGATTGTAGACAGTTTAATAAAGGAAGGGTTGGAAGTCAAAAGTTGTGATTTTCTATAGAGTTTATGGTCTGTGAAACTGAAATGGTAAGTAGAATTTGAAGGAAAGTCACAGCAATTACTTACAAGGGTTTGTTTGAATTTTAAACAGCTTCAGATTAGATGTTTCATTCTAAATTGGTGGTTACTGATTAAGAGAGAGTTTTAGGGAGGCCAGCTAGCTCTGTGGGTTAGACCTTTAACCTCCTGGTATCTGCCTAGGTTAGGTCAGAAGTCAGGATTCGGTCATGTTATCCCGCTCCTTTCAGGGGATGGGAGCGTGTTGACACGGGCAGTGAGTTGGTGTTCAAGCACCATCCTGCCCCACGTTCCTGAGTTACCGTAACCTCTTCTGTAGACTGTATCTCCATGGCTTTTCCACCCACCCAACACCTTAGCACCTTCTCTCCAAAAAATGAGAAGTTTCTGAGTTGGTCACCTTGTGTCACGGTTGTTAGCCCCAGCCTAGAACCTCTGCCGAGGAGCTCAGAGCAATTTGTCATGGTAATTCAGTCAGAAGTTAACTGACTTTTCCAAATGATGCAATAAGCTCAAGAGTGAGTCCTGAGGGTTGCCTGCCCCAGCTCCACGCCACTGTCTTACCCTCGATTGCAGTATTTTTGGGGTGCTGTGTTTTGCGATGCCCTGATGGAGCCAGGGTGTCTATTGCTTCGTGTGCTGTTGACTCAGATCCTGCTTCGTACAAAAAAAATATGTTTTCCAGTGCAGAGGAGGACAAGCTGTAGTCTCCTTTCCTCTCGAGCTGGATTTACTGTAGAAAGTGTCAATTTTTCCAACATTTGTGTTAGCAGAGAGAGCCCAGAAAATCTTTCTGCATGAACACTAATTATCTAAGTAGACTTTTCCATCTATGTTTGCTTACACCATAAATTACTGTTGCTTATGAGTGTACACCTGGCAACACCTTCTGCCTTTCATAATGCTGTGGAGTGTTAACGAATTGGCTACGGTTCAGTGATTTTCACCTTTCCCAGTGCTTTTTTAAAAGCAAAAAAAAAAAAGCTAATTAAAAAAAAAACAACCTCAACAAACTAATCCTGTCTTGGAAAATAATAGTAACTGTTGCGGTACTAACTGAGACGTTATTTGAACACTTTACATCTCATGAAGGGGAAATGCAGTTATCACTCTTGAAAACCGTGAAGGAAAATGTGTGTCTTGGAAGGCAGGATGGAGATACCTGATCTCTGGTTTGGGATGGTGATCTCTGGCAGGGTAAATCAGCCCGTGTGGGGCTCTGTTTTGCCATTGCTAACCCGTGTTAGTGGTCTGGGTGAGCTCAGTTAGACTTGTGCCTGCTAAGTGGCACAAATAAAATTTTTGCTCATGTGTATTAAACGTATACAATTTCCTAGGTATGTGTGTACTCTGGGAAGAAACCACAGATGCCTATTTCTAAAGGCAGCTGGATAAGTGAAGTCTATACCTATAATTCTAAATCACAACTTCTTACATCTCTTTAGTCTGAAGGAAAAAAGAGGGGACACAGCTGTGGATTTTAGAGTTTCTTGTTGCTCAGAAATAAATAAAATTTTAAATGATGTGGTAACATTTACTTGTCATTGTCATTCTGCTTACATTCTGGTATGTATATTCCAGATTGACTGTTGGTGTTTCGAATAAGCATCTTTTAAAGATGGAAGCTTGTTTTCAGGGAATGGGTGTTAAAGAATGAGGCCTCCAAAGATTCTGTGCCCTGTTCTTATTAGAGGAACAGAATGAGGTCACTGTGGGCTTAGTTCAGAATTATTCTGAAATAAAGAGAGAATTGTATTTTCATGACACCTCTATACCAATGAATTTGTAATGAAGGAATTGTTGGGAAGGACAGAGTCCATGTTGGTCTGTGTATCACAGCAACTCATGATAATTCTTGTACGCTAGTTTGTCTTGAATCTGGGCATTGCTGTATGTAAAGCATTGCTGCTGGAGATCTTCATATTTATAACACTTTGAGCAACTAGAAGAACCGGAACCAAGCTTGTCCGTATCTGCTATCACCAGTTGATGTAACACTGTCTGTCCCTTTCGGAAGAGGCAATCGTCTCTTGAAGACTTTAAGAACAAAGTAAAGGGAAGGAAAAATGTGAAGCTTTCCAGTAATCCTTCAGCCACCTCTCTCCTGCTGCCTTGACCTAAAAAAATCTCTTCTCTTATCTCAATCAGATAGTGGCCTGTAGCACTTTGTCCCACTGACTGGGGAATGTCTTGAGTCAATTTGCACTCGGGCAGGCTAGCAGAAGGGTGTATGTGCTGGCCGAGATAGCGAAATTCCTCCACCGTGACTAACTCAGGGTGGTGAATTTAAAATCAAACCATTCATGATTTTTCAAGTTATAACCAAAATTCCTACAGCAAGGAGAAGGGGGTGAGTTATCAAATGTCTAAACCTTTTTTAGTCTTTTAAAATCTGCCTTTAAAGTGATGATAGCTCTTGCTTGTGCATTTAAAGACATTTTATAATGTCTTTGAGTGATTAATATAAATCATCTATGAGAGACCACAGGAGCCTTTACTTTTCTGTCCACCACCCGGAAAGCAAATGTATTTCTATCAATTGTTACTGTTTAACAGGTGTGTGTTTTCACATATGCGTTTTGATAAGCTTCATCACCACAGTCATCTTATACACGTTTAAATTCTGCTGGGTAAATACAGAGTAAAGGAAAAGTTCTGACTCTATAGGAAGTGTGAAAGCCTGTGGCTTTTGTAGGAATGTTCTGCACTTGTTCTCTCTGCCTGAGCAGCACCAGCATATGTCTGAATCGTGCTGATTTCCGTGGGGCATCATATTTAGGTTTTTAATCATTTCTGTTGAAATTGATGTAAAATTGACCCCTTTTTACCATTTTGTTTTGCTAAGTGACAGTTTTTCATGATGTATCTGTTACCTGAAGACACATATTTTAAAATTAAGCAGAACTATCCACAATTTTTTATATGATACACCAAAAGCAAAATGTTTCTATGAAACACTTCTTGCTCTTTCCTAGATTTCTGACCAACATTTCTTGACATTTTGATTCTGGTTTAAGTTTCTCACCTCCAGGCTATATCTTAAGAGTACAGTTGTATGCATTGGATATTGATAATTTAGTTTAAAAATTGGTTTGAAGTACTTATCTAGAAGAATTGGTTAAAAATATGGTGGAGAAAATGTCCAAAAAGAACATGGCAGTAATTTGGTAGAAGTGTCCATAGCTAGTCAGGAAAAAAACATGTTGAGATTATGTTTATTGTCTCAATCCTTTTGCAAATAAAGTACTATTTTTTGGGCAAGAAGCACAGATAAAACATGAAATAGGTATTTCAAAGAAATAATAAAAAAAAAACAGATGGCAAAAGCAGTTGTTAAACTATGGTGACAAAGTGTCTGAAGGGTCAAGCTGTGATTCGGGATGCTTGGAGTGCAGTTGTTCCTTGAATTTCCCTACACCAAAAAAAAAGGCAATGACAAATTGGAAGGGATACCCTGAAGACCAGCTGGTGGCGTGGGTAAAACTTTGTGGGTGTTCTCCAGGATTTTGAAATAACTCAATATGAAATAGGGCTTCACGGAACAAAATAGTAGAAATAACAGGATAATAGCTGGCAAGGAGCTAGTCAGGTTGGAGAGCTGGAAGTGTTTCCCACAACTGATAAATCTCTGTCTGTGGACACTTGTCCTTTTCCTGGATCCCATATGCCTGGTGAGGACGCTCCTGCTTTCAGTGGCTTGTTGCTGCCCTCGTGTTTTTTCCTAGTGGGTTAGTTCACATGAGCTCCCCAATATGTTGTCTGCGACATGAGCTCAAGTCACCTATTTAAACAGCTTAAATGGATCCAGTTGGTATTACCCAGGGAAACTTAGGGAACATTTGGAGAGGTGTAGGACTGGCATCTTCAGTTAGAAGAGCCCTAGTGAGCAACCTGGATGGAGCTAATGGTTTTAACCTTGTCCTGGGTTAAGTAGTTTTGCTGCCCAAAGACAGGTTTTAATGGGACTAGGTAGCGAAGCCAGGTTACTTAACAAAGACCCTGTTAACAAAGCCTGTCCGATCCGGCTGTTGCAAACTTCGTGGTTGAAGGGACGTGGCAGGACCATCACGTGTCTGAGAAAGAGAGGTTCAATTTGTGAATCTTCCGCAGGAGATGTCATCATCCCCAGCAAAGGGGAGTGTTTCTGGGCTTTGCAACGCTGCACTTGTAACCAGAAAGCACTACGCCAACAAGCTGGATCTAGTTGAATCCAGATCCATGACATAAATCCAGTTGTGTGACGATGTGTCACAAATGCTTTGGGCCTCTATGGCAGTTGTTTAGCGTAAACTGAAAAGGCTTAAGCTGTTGTTTTATTATGAAGATACTATCTTTTCGTATTGGAGTTACAAGAAGGGAAATTGCACAAATACTTCTTAATGTCGCCATCCAGTATATCCACTTCTGGCTGTAAGTTAGTTGTTTTCTTACTGAATGCTAAACAAATTCTTGTGTTTTCCTATCAAATTAATTGCTTACAGCTTGTTATCAAATTTTATTTTGTTTTAACTTACGTGGATCCGTGAGCTGTTCTTCCTGTTTTGCAGTCTCGAATTGCTTAAAAACACTTGCTCTCGTTCTGAGAAGTGTGATGTAACTTGTCATGGCAAAAAGTTCGGGTCACTTTGACCAAGTCTCCCTCAAAATAATAAAGAAGTAATTCTTTACATAAAGAAGTAAAATATTCAAAATATGTAGGTGTTGTGTTTGTAATTTGCTGATGGTTTATGTCAGTGATTCTTCCTGACCCAAACTTTGACGTTCAAGGTTAGCAGAACGGTGAGACAATAAAATAACACCAATAAACTCTTTCTAGCTTTAGAAACTTATTTCTTAACTCTTCATAGTGTGAAAAAAACCCCAATAAATAGCTTTGGTGTATATCATCCAGAGGAGAGGCTGGGGAGAGAAGAGCTGTAAGTTTGGGCTGGAGATTTTGAGATGGTGTCACACATTTCTGTGACATTATGTTAGCATCCATGCCCTTCACCTGCTGCTGGGGTCTCATCTACATTTTCTTTGTTTTTCAAAGCCTGCGTGTCCAGTCATTAGCTGCTATTATTATTAATGCTATTATTAGTATTAACTAGTTAATGAGATAATTACTAGCTGGGGGGACTAGGAAAGCCAGGAGCCCCTTACAGGAAGGACTTTTCTTCCAAGCTTTGAACTGAAGGCATTTTTACCTCCAGTAAGTGTGAGAGCTAAGCTCTTGGCACCGGGGATGCAGCTCTGCGTAGCCTTTTCCTGCTGGTTTAGGACCTTCACAATAGTCAGCCATGAAGGAGGATTTCAGACCTATGGCTGTAATGATCTTTTAAGAATATATAGTTACTGGAAGTGTCACTGAATGGTCTATAAATTTTTTTTCTGGTGTACTGCACTGAATTACTACTTTCCATTTGGCTGATTAAAATGACTGTACCAGATTGTATTTTTATTCTGTTTGCATTCTATATACTTTGCAGTTTAGAAGTTGTACATTACAGCTACATCATGTTAAGATCTTTGAACACTTTGTCAAAAATGTGATGCTAAAACAAGAGATTAGTAGATAGCCAACAAAAGGTCATTTTGGGAGCCAACTTATGATGCAAGAAATATATATGTGTACCAGATGACTCTATATACTTCCAGTACTGGGCTGGATCCTATTTTCGGCAAGACTAATGCCAACGCTCCCTTTGAGTTCAAACAGGAACAGAATCAGCACCTTTAATACATTCTGTCCGAGAAGGATTGTATGAAATAAATGTATATCCTTATGCTCTGTTCCTGTGAGGATTTTCTTTAGGCATTTTTCATGAGGCAGCATCTTCATTTCTTTCTTGTGATACCCCAGAGCAGCAAGAGATGTAGCCACTGGATGTTATCAGCGGGAGGGATCCCACATGTTGCCCTTCTGTACTTTGTTTCTCAAAAATATGGGCTGTGTAATTGAGCTATTTGAGAAAAATATGGATGTTAAGGGATCATATCCATCCCATATTGCTGGTGGGTAGTTCATATTATCAGATGATTGTTTGGAGACAGATGGGGAATATGCTGAGGGTGTGAATTCGCTTTAGAGTGGATTGAGAGGTAAAGCCTGGTAAAACAAGGGCTGCTAGTTAGTGCTATCCTCGTAAGCCTGGTAGGACTGAGTGTGCACTAATATGATGGTGACGAGGTACATTTATAGCAGAATGCATGAAAGCTTTCCCTGCTTTCACCTGATCAGGAATAAATAAAGTATTTCAGTGTCCAGAATTGTCAAACAAGGACAGGAGAGGCTTTTTTAAACACGGTGGCTCTTCAGAAAACAGTCCTTTTGGAGCGGGAGAGGGTGAAACTGTACTAGTGAAGTTCTCAACCTCTCTGGTTGCAACCCGCCAGGTCCGCAACCAGCACTGGAGTCTCATCATGGAGAGCGTGGTCCCGTCTGACAAAGGAAATTACACGTGCATCGTGGAAAACCAGTACGGATCCATCAATCACACGTACCATCTCGACGTTGTGGGTAAGTAGAACTCTGTCACGTGCAAGACGATGTTTTTAATTAATGAATTTCTCTATTAAAACATTTAGAACTAAGCTGGTGCATTTTGCATTAATTTTGAAGGTGATTTCACAGTAGTCTGTAGATTTCACTACATAACCAATTACTACATAACTTTCTACATTCATCTGCCCCACTTGTGTCTGTAGGACTAATCTACCCATGCCTTGGCAAAGGTGTAGTACCCATGTGTGCAAGTGAGTTCTTGATGATGTGATACACCTACAAGCTTAGTGTGACAAACAAATAATAAATACTCACACAATTTTAATCATTAGCATTACAATTTAATTGTTATTTGTACAATTGTACCAACACAAATGTTAATAACTGCAGGTGTGAAAACTGTCCAGTGATCCTTTAGATTGCTGTTATTAAAGCTGAAATTATTTTTTTTGTCTTTTTAAATGACAAGCTAGATGCTTGGTGAAGCTAGTGCAGATCTGGAGCTTTAGGAAAGGTACTTTGCATTCACAGCAGTATAACAGAGATCCAACTGTAGCCTGTTGCATGGGCCATATGGAGTTCCTAAAACATAGGTGACAAAAATTGTGAAGAAATGGTTTTACTTGAGGACAAACTCATAATAAGCTATCTGAATTCTTAGTAGTAGCAAAGTTGTGATCCTTAGCTAAATGAGGACTTGAAATCTCAGAAACCAATTCCATTCACCCCTACTCTTGCTGATTAGCCTGGAGGGGTGTGAGCAATTTTATTGACTCTGAAGGCATTGCTGTCCAGAAGTAATCAGTCTGGCTGTTACAATAGGTCCTGCTGGTAGTACCTTTGGGGACCTGAGAGGCAGTTTCTCAAGTGTCTTGAATGGGCTTTGCTCTCCCCAGGTTTGTGGGATGATCTGAGTGTCACAAGCTCAGCGAAAAAAACTTTTGATCAAACAGTATTGAAAGCAAAAATTGATTATTGTAAGCTATTTTTGGCTGGTGACTGACAGCCCAACTTATTTTCTATGGAGAATCTTACAGTGAATTTGGGTTTATAAGATCAAAACAGTGACAAAATTTTCATTTCCCTATTTCTTGATTGTTTTTTACATAGATAAAAATGAATTTCTTGCATTGTTTTGGGTGCTCTTTAAAAGTAGTGTTTTATTTTGTCTGTGACCACTTAAATCTGCGGGAAGCCCCTAAATCCAAAAGAAAACAAGTGCCATCTTCTCAGGCAGCAAGAGATAAAAGCTTTCCCCACGAAAATGCCAGCGAAAGCTAGCCTTCATGGAGCAGAGGAGGAAAAATATCATTTGGTGATGGGGATGCTGTCAGGCTGAAGCCCCAATACATTTAAGTCTTCAAAGTCAGTCTGTGAACCACCCTGTACTTGGTTTCAGGGAGTCACCACTGACGGCAGTGAGGATTTTTGTAGCCTTGTCAATATTTTATTGTGCTCGGTAGAGTGAGCTGTGGGTATTGGTGAGGTGAACCGAGCGACTGGCAAAGCCATCTTTGTTTGAACACTTCTTTAAACAAAGTTTATGGAGGGTGCAGCAGCAACAGCTGCCAGAGATGCAGCAGAGATGTAAATTGTCTTCTGCGTGCCTCTGTCTTCCGCTGACCACCTCACTGGAGGGCATAGGCTGCTTGCATGGGCTTGCTGGGGACGAGGCTTGATTTATAGAGCCTGGCCCAGAAGAATGCAAGGAGATGAGTTGTGGAATTTTTGGAGGTTTTTTGGGTTTTGGAATTTTTTTTCTTAAGCCTTTAGAGAGCTTAGATTGACTCAATTTTGATTTTGGTTAAAACTGTTTTTCAGTAGGCTGCATGGGAGGAAAAAGCCAGTTTTGCAATATTGGGAGTTTTACTTGTTGAAACAAAACTGGTTAAAAATTCCCCTTCCCTTCTCTGTCCCTTGCTCTGTTTCCTTGTTACCACCCCAGTGCCCAGTCTGGCATGTTTCATGCTGACCATAAATTTCTTCACCCATTTTTTTTCTAGCAAATGTCTCCATGGATGATGTGTTCACTTGAGCAAATATTTGTCAGAAGCCCTCTCACCTCCTCTCCCCTTTTGAGCCTTTTGAATGTCTTGCATTGAGGAATATTATGCAAAAGTTTATTTTTCCTGGCAGTAAATTATAGTGACCTGCATGAATGAATGGAATGGTAATAAGGATTATGTCATTTATTTAAATGTCTATTCCTTTCCTATAGAGAGGCAGAAAAGTAAACAGTGATGTTTTTCAAAAGTGACTGGTGATTTGGGATGCTGGATGCCCAACTGATGGCTCACTAAGGAGCCCTGAGCAAATATTCAGCATTTTCTGATGCTCAGACCCTATGAGATAGCAAACCAGAAATCCAAAAGGCTCTTCTGCAAATCCCAGTCTGCATCTTGGAGTTCTGCACACTTAATCATTTTACTTCCTTTAATTTCATGAGTTAAAGAAGGTAATTGTTAGTTTACTTTGAAAATACATGTATGGGAATGCATGCCCTAAGATACCTGTGTTGAATTACTGTGAGTCTTTCAAGAGATACAGCACTGGGACCTCAACCTAGAAGGGGGATTGATGTTAGAGAGCTCAGTCGTTTGTGTTGCTGAAAGCTTGTAATAATCGTGGAGGTTGGGCATAAAATTGCTGAAGCAGAAAATTAAGGCTGGCCAGAAGGGGAAACTGATGGTTTTTCTAGTTGAGACAGTTCTACAGAAGTTAGTTTTGTGCTTTTTTATTTTTTTTTTCTGTTTTCATGTGAATTTTCAGTTCCCACAGGGCTGTGGAGGGTTGTGGATGTTTGTTTAGAAGCAATTGCACATGTAGACCGTATCTTAGAAAATTCAGGTCATAATTTTAGTTCAAGTTCTGTGTAGAAAACTTGTCAGTTGAAAGCCTCTGAAATTGCTTTTCCTATATGGTTTAACTGGTTCCAGAGCTGATTAAGTGTAAGTAATAGAAAATGGTATTAAACATGGTAATGTATTACACTGACATGAGCATCTGACTATATGGTGTAATGTAGAGAACCCGCTGATTATGTCACAGATTTGGGAGGTATCCCAGCAAAAATTGTGCCAAAGAATGACACAATGCTAGTTAGGAATATCCAGTATTACTCGATGCCAATAACTTTCCAAACTTTGAACTCTTTTTGACAATTAAAAGCCTGGAGCCAGCAGGGCTGAGTAGTTTTCAGTCAGAATGTAGGTGTGAAGTATTCTCGTTTTTACCTTGTAATTACTTGCAAGAACCCTCTTAAAATAGTCAGCTCAGATGGTCTCATTCAAATTTACAAACTTGGCAAAACCGTCACACTGAATTTTTTACAATGGGAGCAGAAAATACTGAAGAAAAAAAGCATCAAGTCCTTGGCAGCCTCTCTGTATTGCACAGGATACTTGTGCACGTTGACAGTGTTAGTGGGGAATTGTCCAGTCCAGTTGGCTAGGATTATTCTGTGTTGGAAAAAGTTTTTCTTTCAATATTCGGGATACCCCAGTCAACTGCCTTTTCCTCTCTCCTCCTCCGCCATTTCAAAACAAGGACTTCAACAGGCTGTACACGGGGCTTTGCTCGGGGATATCAATGTGTTAGATTGCAGTGGCAGCAAATGGTGGCGATACAAAACTCCGTTAGGATACTGTAAAAGGGAGACAAGTCGATTTTAGCTTTTTATTGGAGTACTACTCAAAAGCTTCAATTAATATCAGATACTTATTGTCCAAGGCAACATGCCAGCGCACAGTAATTGCTTACAACTGAAATGCGGAGAGGCTGGGAGAAGGAAATGTCACTGTCCATTTTAGAGATGAAAAACCGAGCTGTGGAGCGATGAAATTTCTTGCCCTGGGTCACACAGGAAGCTGGTGGCAGAGCCAAGAAGTAAAGCTGGTACTTGAATCCTAATCCAGTACCTTAATTAAAAGAATGTTCTTTCCCTTGCACAGTTTAGCCCATCAGCTATATTTTTTTTTTTTTTACATGCAGCTGAAGTGCCTTTCTGTTCTTTTGTATTTAACAGCAGGTAGAAACTCACATTTTTATAGTAAGCTTACTACTAGACTAACTCCATTCTCATTAAACATATATAAAGTCATGCAGTCTTAAGGGAGAATAAATGAAAACGATGTGATTTTCACTTACGAGTTGTATTGTAGTGAATCCGGGTTGAAGGAAGCAACGTGGGAATGCAGCCGCTGAGACTTGTATATAATTAGATCACACTTGGATGGCAATTATCGCTAGAGTACAGTATCAGCAGCATCAGTTCTGTTTAAGCATAGAAGTAACTAATTGAATTTATATTTTAATGGCAGAAAAAAAAAAAAAGGTTAGCCTTTGAACACTCCTAGTGCAGGTAGCCATTTCTGTCCTATTTAATGTCATCATCCAGGGAAACAAAAGACTTGATTTCTGATGGGGTTTGGCACATTACCTTATTTACTGGGTTTTATGAGCAGCTGCCATAGCACGACGCATCTTCCAAGAACATGTAAGAAGACCCTGCTGTTTACTATAAAAATGAACATAACTTGTCAGAAATATATATATATATTTTTTTTTTTAATTCCTTTTGCAGACAGTTTAGCTGTACTTTGGCCAGTTCCTAATTCACCTGATAGCTGTGTCTTTGGTTCTCATTACTGAGGAGTGAACACCAGAGGTGGCAGATACCATACAGTTGTCCCTTAGTCATAATTTGTATTTTTATATGAAAACAGTGTGAGAATAACTTATTTTCCAGGAAGCATTTTAAATTACTCTCAGCTTAAACTTGTCCCCAGAAATCTCACGTATGAGTGGTTTTACTGATGGTTGTGCAAAAAACCCACTTTTATTTTGAACTCTTACAGGTTTAGAGGGACTTAGGGTGAATTTTATTCTTGCTTTTTACAGGACGTTATTAAAAAAACCCCTTTTTGCTATTGGTACGTCACTGTTTATATTTCCCTTAGTTAAGAGAGAAGAAAAAACTTTGCTTTTGTTTCTGCTCAGTTTTATTTTTGGATTTT